AGCAGGAAAGAGGCGAATTGCTAAAAACAGCAGTGCAATTTAAAGCAGTAGTTGATAGCACGCTGCGAGATATCTCGTGCAAAGCAGCAGCTTTGGGTTTTTCAGCATTTCTTGATCTTACTATTCCTATTCCATCCTACCTGAACTCCACTACCACAGGGCCTGTGGCCATGGTTCCACAAGACAGGAAATCCAGTAGTGTGCTTTCTATCAGACAAAAAAAATCCAAACAAACAAAAAAACCCCAACCACTGACACTACATGGTGAGAAATGCTGAACCAATACACGCACACTCATTGCTGGTTTGAATTGGCTTAAAAACATTACAACCAGGCAGATTTTATGCTGGGTCAGGTATCATCCATCTTCCCACAGTCAGCATAAAGACTATATCATACCTGGTCTGACTTGACAGAAATATAATTGCATAATCCTGCCAGATCTTAGTGAAATGCATGCTGCCAGGTATTCCAATAGTGCACAGACAAGTATTCATAAAGCTAGTCTGCCTTGTGGAGTCTAGGTGGCAGGGTGTCTGCAAGAAGGTAATTTTCTCTGTAGGCTGAATCCACTGGCAGTCCTGCTGACTTGTCAGCTTTGTGTTAAATCTGTTGAGTCCTTTTCATGTTGTCAGAAGGAAATCTGTCCTGTGAAAAATCATCTGATAGAAGAACGTTATTATTGTGTTCATCTTCTCCTCCTAGTACTGTATGGTTGGGATTAATTTTCTATTCATGTTCACCTTATGTGGAGGTTGTGAAAGAAGCTGCATCAGTGATACTAGAGAATGTTTAAATATGCATCATATTTTTCAACAGAAATGCAAGTGCAACCACAAACAGACTGGAATTACTGAACAGAAAATTCTCCCGTTTACATTCCTGTCTGAACATCCCTGTAATAATGAGTTTGCATTTAGACAGCTTTGGCAAGCAGACGGCTTCCCAAATGCCCAGTAACTTCACAATAAAACTGTGCTATGTTATGTGGATAGCTTCACCCATCGCTGAAACGCTGCCAAGATCAGAGATAGTAACTGGCTGCTTTTGTGAAAGGCCTTAGCAACACTGTGCAATACTAAGAGAGGGCGTAAAAAAACAGAACACATTTGCAGTGGAATGAGCAAGGGGACACTTCGAAAACTCCTAATTTGACTGTAGATTAAGATCAGTTCTCCATCTAAACTCACACACTATTAAACTGCCAGAAGAAAGAGTCAGGCCCTGTGCATCTGAAATAAAGAAGGGGCAGGGGAGAGAAATCGAAGTGAGGCTATAATGCTTAGATTTAGTTAGAATGAGCTTCATGTGAGCACTTCCAGCTCTGACTGGAGTCAGGCAAAATATCCCGAGTTCTCTATGCTATTGAAGAGGCCTCCAAAAATGAAAACTCTAAAGTAAACATTAAAATATGAATTTAAGACCTTATTTTTAAACGTCTTTATTAATAGCTTGACCTTAGAGTTTCACACTGTCACCCTGCTATCCAAATGCTTTTGTAACAATCTACTCTTTTATATGCTAAAAGCAAAACTAACAAGTCAACTCTAGGAATCACCTGTGTAGCAGTTCTCTAGGCATTTGTCTGTGTGAGGAAACGCCATCACAGTCTGTGACTCCAAGTAACTAGTTGTAAACAGCGGTCTGTCCCACCTGCCCTTCCCACGTGTCATGCTACGTGTTAAGGAACAATACAACGCTCCTGATCATTTTCCTCTCTTTTCTTCTAAAGTGTTCTCTCATTTAAGAACAAAACACGTATGGTTACACCTTAGTTTTCCTGCCAAGTACCTCCATACAGGAGAACGCAGGTGTGATCAGCACTTGTTAGAAGTGCACACAGAAGACAGATGTTTCTTGCTTAGCTGGGCACCAACAGGAGAGGTCTCACACGTTCCCCAAGTGCCAAAGCAAGCGGGACGTACAAGAGGAGTGCGTGGGTTGGGGTTTTGTCCCAGATGAGTCCATGCTGTTGTGACTGCTCTGAAACATCACCAAGTGTTACTCCCCAGGGCTTTGTTCTCTCTTCGGTGGAGATATACAGGACAGCTGTCAGGAGAGTGTCTCTGAACAAGCAAAGAAGCTGGGAAAGAAAGTCTGCTAATTAATCTAGACATTTAATGAAACCCACAGGGACATTCAAGACTCACTGTATGTTGGCGTAGCAGCTAGGAACATACAAAAGGTCTGAGAGGTATTAATTCCCTTTTCTTTTTGGGTACAGCAACATTTTTGTTTGTGAATAGGAAAGAGAGGCTCGCAGAACAGTAAGTCAGTCCTAGTATAGATCCAGGCTTGATACACGATACAGTCAACAGAACTAAGCACCTAAAGATACTTTGGGACAAACCCTGAGACCCAGGCAGATCAAAGGGCTAAGGTCAGTCTCCTCAGTCCTCAGCTAATACCAAAACTAAAAAATCACCTTTTTTTTTTTTTAAATAATCACTCCCCACTTTTACTGAATCACTAAAAGGTAGGCTGAGTGTCAGATGCAGACACTTTCCCACCTCATCCCAGCCCCTGTGAACACAACAGAGAGCCTAACAGTGGCTGTTCATCTACTGTCAAAGGGGAAACCATCCACATAATCTGTGACAGGACATCACCGTAGCATTACAAGGTGCCCTAGAGAGCATTTCCCCCTTGATCCCCCCAAGAAAAAGGCTGGAAGAAGTAGTCATAGTATAATTCAAACACATGCCAGCTTGACAAGAAAGCATCCCAGTCAATGAGATTTGACAAGATTAAATGCAGAAACATCTCCAAACAAAGTCTCCCTGACTCATTGCTTCCATGGTGGAAAAAGCAGGCTGTGTAGCTCTGCATATGAAGAATAAACTATCCTGCCATGCTAGATGACTTCCAGTACAGCCCAGGCAGAACTGAATGTTAGGTGTGGGTGTGCATGCTGTGTTTAGCAAAGTTTGGGTGGGAGTGGGGGTCCCCATTTGCAAATTCATTGATCTGCTTGCAGAGGGACAGCTGACAGCCTGAACCCAGTCCAAGTGGAATGAGGTATTGGCATTGACTTTGTCCTAGTGCAATTTGGGAAGGAGTCAGCATGCATAGCTTTGCAGCAGATATGCAATTAGAGTCATGGAGGTGAGCTCCCTACAGCGGGAACATCTAAGGTTAAAAGACTGTTAATATCTGAAAGCAAGCAGGACCAAGTTTATTTAAATTGTAAGAGAGTCTGACTCATGATTGTTACTGAGGTCAGACACATGGACTGGGCAAGATATACAAATATCAATATATTAATTGAATGCTCAGCAAGTCTCTGTCAAAGGTAATACTAATTCTGAATTCACTGAAGTTCTCAGCGTCAAACACAGCTGAGCAAAGAGCCAGAGCCCAGCATTGCTTGGTGCTGCTGGAGAAGGCACCGGTGTCCTAAGTGAGCAGAAGGCCACTGGTGGGACAAACATCTATCTCTTCCATCTATGATTTCTGTAGATCTCATGGAAGAGAGCAGGGCAAGCTGTCCACACCCAGGAGCA